AGATGGAATGACTGGGCTTTACAGGAAGGATTTTCACAGATCGATCAATACAGTGATATCAGTCGTTCTGTTTTGGTTTGTTACGTCGCCCGTTGTTAGACGTACGATTTGGCGGACATCATCAACCCAGAGACTGAAGATTTCTTCAACTCCCAGTACTCCATTTTCATTCACTACTCAGCACACATTTTACTGAAATTTCTCTGCATCCATCATCACAAATTTTAGATCATGTTTCTTCTCTACAACGTACCTCTCAATCTGGGTAGCTAGGAGTGGTGGTTTGCGAGCTGTTGCTTTGATCCTGACAAAACCTCAGACGTGTACTGTTACTATGAATAACCATCTGAAGTGCGTTTTTCTTTTCTAGAACCGCACTCACTCGCATTTACGTAAACGAAATAGCACAACTGTCGCAGCGCCTTGGTACTTCCAAGCTCATTGCTGCAAGTAACTGGGCTGCTTCTGGCTCCGCCGCAAGTACTGTGACCTGTCCTGTCCTGTCTTCTTTTCTGTTAGGGAAGATCAGTTCAGTTCAGTTCAGTTCAGTTTGCACAGGACGATGTGTGGCCCAGGCCAATCTTGCGTCCAGATTGATGTGTTGTTGGCTGTTCTTGTGGCTTCCAACACTGCGAGTCAATAGGTTTTTTCTGAAAGGCAGAAAGTAAGGTGCAGTATCACGTCCTGGGCAATGGCGCTCAGGAATAATAGTTACTTACCATCAAACTGCTTCAGGGAAGGTAGAAGCCCAACAGTCATCTAATGCCCTCTTGAAGGCAATGACGTTCGAGCAACTTACCACCTTTTCTGGCAGACTATTCCAGTAAGGTATTACGCGACTTGTGAAGAACTTGGCTCGAATGTCCAGTCTTACAAGACTACGTTGTAGCCTTAAACTATGTCCCCTAGTGCCACTTGAGGGGATGAACTGGAACATGTCCTCGAACTTAAGTCCGGAGAGCCCGTTGATGATCTTAAAGACTTCTATTAGGTCCCCCCTTACTCTTCTTCTTGCAAGAGAGAATAGGTTTAGGTCCTTGAGTCTCTGCTCGTAGCTCTTACCTCTTTGTCCCACCATCATCCTTGTAGCCAGACGTTGTACCCTT